GGCTTTCTGCACTGCGCTGCTGTGGAAACTGTTAAAAACAGCTCTAGGAAGGAAGGGAGAGAGAGAGAGAGAGGGGGGGGGGGGGGGGGGGGCAGAGAGGGCAAATTTGGGGATTAGAAAAACCTAGTTACTCAAAAGCCTGTTTTAGGGGGCGGGAGTTAAATATATCACAAGGGAAAAGTAAAGGCATAAGGAAGATTAAAGAGAGGGCGCAGCACCAGCTCTTTGGAATGACTCCGTTAATCCACTTAGTATCACTTATCAGGCCGTGAGATCATGGCACTGCAAAGAAACTTTGCTACTATTTCAGTTATTTCTGTATCTGGATTATCAAGCAAGAAAAGGACCGTAAGATTATCAGAGGTCTCCAAAAGCTGGGCTAATACGGGTTATCAAAGATCCCGATGGGATGCTGGATACAGCAGGCACCGGAGGAGAACAGTTTTGACACAGTCCTTCATACAAGAAGAAGAAGAAGAAGAGATTGGATTTATACCTCCGCCCTTCACTACCCAAAGGAGTCTCAGAGCATCTTCCAAATTCCTTTCCCTTCCCCTCCCCACAACAGACACCCTGTGAGGTGGGTGGGGCTCAGAGAGCTCTTTCAAGAACTGCTCCTGAGAGAACACCTCTGAGAGAACTTGTGACTGAACCAAGGTCATACAGCAGCTGCAAGTGGAGAAGGCGGAGACTGGATTTATACCCTGCCCTTCACTACCCGAAGGAGTCTCAGAGCGGCTTACAAATTCCTTTCCCTTCCCCTCCCCACAGCAGACACCCTGTGAGGTAGGTGAGGCTGAGAGAGCTCTGACCGAAACTGCTCTTTTTCAAGAACAGCTCTGGCAGAACTATGGCTTGCCCAAGGTCATCCAGCAAGTGCAAGTGGAGGAGTGGGGAATCAAACCCGGTTCTCCCAGATTAGAGTCCGTGCACTTAACCACTACACCAAACTGGCACCTGCTAGGATAGGGAATCCCTTGGAATCTGCCAGATAAGATAGCTGAAGGAAGAACATTGAATCTAGTCAAGGAGATGGCTCTACGCAGATTTGGAGCTATGAGCTGATAGAGGTATACAGCTAGAAGGTTTGCATTTGGAACAATCCCCAAGTTTAAGGGAGAACAGGTTCTGTTAGTCAGGCTAGAGAGAGTCTGTAACTCCGAACTCAATAAATGAGATCTTATTTTTTAAAAGGTTTCATACACAGAAAGCATAAATCGGGATTCTAAGGATAAATTCAGGGAACTTATTTTGGCTTCCGTGAAGAAGAAGAAGAAGAAGAAGAAGAAGAAGAAGAAGAAGAAGAAGAAGAAGAAGAAGAAGAAGAAGAAGAAGAAGAAGATAAACTCCTTTCCCTTCCCCTCCCCACCACAGACACCCTGTGAGGTAGGTGGGGCTGAGAGAGCTCTTGACAGAAACTGCTCTATTTCAAGAACAGCTCTGACAGAACTGTGGCTTGCCCAAGGCCATCCAGCCAGGTGCAAGTGGAGGAGTGGGGAATCAAGCCCGGTTCTCCCAGCTTAGAGTCCGCGCACTTAACCA